GGCGTGGGGGCGGGGCTTACGGCGGAGGCCGCTTTGGCGTGGGCACGGTCGTGGGGTTTGGTAACTGCGGAAGCTACGGGGGCCTGGGCAGCTACAGAGGTCTTGGGGACGGCGTGGCTATTGGAGGCTACGGCGGTGGCATCGGCGGTGGCATCAGTGGTGGCATCGGCGGTGGCATCGGCGGTGGCATCGGTGGTGGCATCAACGTCGGCCTCGCTGGAGGTAGATCTGAAGGAATTCGGGGCGTCAGCATCCACCCAGAGCTCCTCAAGCCCCTCTGCGTGGGGGTCGACCCCGAGGAGTGCCAAGTGCGGACCCATGAGAAAGAGCAGATCAAGAACCTCAACAACCAGTTTGCCTGCTTCATCGACAAGGTGAGACCCTGCTTCCCTCCGCAGGCTGTTTGCCTCCTGTCTCTAAGCTCTGGTGGATGGATTGTCTCTAGAGAGACAGTAGCTATTCCTTCTGGCACCCTGATATTGTAAATGTTTCCGATAGACCATGGTGGTCCTGACCTGGAGACTGTTTGGATTTAAGCCTTGCACCAAGGCAACTGCACCAGTATTTTCCCTTTCGATGGTCACCAATCTGATAAATAGCTAAATCAGGAGTGGCTCCAGGGATACAGTAAGTGAAAATCTGTGAGAGAAAGGATGGAGCCACAGAAATGTAAAAAGGCAAACTAGGAAGTTTTGTTACAAACGTGTAACCTGACAGTGCTATCACATCTCTGTAAACTCTGAAGGACTGTCGCATTTTCAAAACAGTTTGCGTGCTTCGTCAAAGAGCTGTAGAAAGACGTCCAGCTAAAATGAGATGAACAATGTCAACTTCTCTGTCCCTCCACTCTGTGAATGGAAGGATTTGGTGATTTCCTAAGCAGATGCAATTTATTGTTGTTTTCTCTGCTAAGCCTAAGGGTTTTCACTACCGTTTAGAGATGTGTTATAGGAAATCATTTTTCAAATGCCAGAGAAACCTTTGCTCTGTCCGATCTTGATTTTCCTTGCGAGTTATTCTGCAGCTGGAAAAACCAAACCCACGTAAGAGGAGCAACTCCGCTTCCTCCCATTTGAAAAATGACTTATTCATGATCCATAAAGGTTCTCAAGTACTAGAGAGCTCTTTGATCTAGAAGTGAAAGGCACGATAAACATCCGTGGTTAGAGCTTAAATCAGATACATGCAAATGAGATCCTAGACAGAGCTCTTAGTGCCGCGAAAGACTCATCGCTGTGCTCAGCCCATCAGGGGTGGCAGCGGATCCTCCGTCAGCTGGTTCTCACGGGGGAAGAGGTGCTGTTTGGCTGAACTGAGCTTTGGCCAAACAGATGATCGGCCTCAATGCAGAGCAAACGCACCAACATTGTTCGGTCTCTGATATGAGTCCTGGGTGGGACCAGGTTGAGCTCAGAGAAGATGCTGATCTCACTCAGGCTGTGGAGAAATCAGCACTTGACCTTTCGCATTTCTGGTTTTATTTTTACTTTTTCCTTTCGGAAGTGGAGGAACCCAAAATGCCTTTGCCCAGGACAAGAGGGGGTTGCGTGACTCTTGCATCTTTTGCTTCCCCAGGTCCGGCTGCTGGAGCAGCAGAACAAGGTGCTGACCACCAAGTGGGAGCTGCTGCAGCAGTACGTCCTGCCAGCTTCCAGGAGAAACCTGGAGCCTGTTTTCGAGAACTTCATCTGCAACCTGAGGAAGCAGCTGGAGTGTGTGCTGGGGGAGCGAGAGAGGCTGGAAAACGAGGAGCGGTGCCTCAGGGACCTGGTTCAAGAGTACAAGTGCAAGTAAGTAGTACTGCAGACCCGGGTGCTTGCTGGCCTGAGCAGTGTTTCTGAGCGTGAAACCACTGCAATTGCACCGGACAGGTCCAAAAACTGGGGCAGAGGGAGGGGAGCAGGGCAGGGCACACCAGCACTGCGCTGGTTTCCTGTACTGGGGTCCTGTTGCACCTCAGGTTCAGGTGATGGACTGGACGAGCTCTTCAACCACAGTGTTTCCTCAGGGAGAAGGACAGAGAACCACTTTTCCTCTCCCTAATGCTCCTGCACACCACCGTGGTTTGCCATATCACACCTCCCACGTCATCTGTGTTTGTGGCTCCCCCAGGTTTCGTGTCTCCGGTGCCATCCGTTCCCACAAAACCCTCAGCCTATTTGTCTTCATCCCACGCTTTATTCACATCGTCTCCGTCAGAGTTCATTCTCTCTTCCCAGAGGGAATGTGGAAATTCTTTTTTTAACCGAAGCTGCAGATACTCCTTAACAGCTCTCGGTGCGCTCTGCTAAGCCATGAACCAGGACACTTGGTGGTTGGTGGTGTACAGCACAGGATAAAAGGGTAGTCCTTTCTCCAGAAATCTTACAGTCAAGCATCTCAGATGTTTTTTTCTCACTGAGCCACCACTAAGGAGGTCAGACTCTTCTTGTGAAAGTTCTCCTAGGTCTCAATTACTTGGTCATTACACACCAGCTTTCCTTCCCATTGCACCTGGGAGTTTCAAAGATTGCTCAAGCTCCTGACCTCCCCTGGGGCATTTTGGCCACGCTCTCCTCATAAACACTCAGAGCAGAGTCCTGGACACTTCAGAAGAACATCACAAGAAGCAGCAGGGCTGGAAGAAGCAATCCAAGCCTTCAGTTTTTTGCATTTCTAGCAGTTTGGCCTGATTTACTGCCATCTCACTCCAGCCACCAATAGTGCTGGCGTGGACTACTAAAAACTGCTGAACAAAGCCCAGTGGGGAAGAAAGAAATGGCAACAAAGCAAAAATCAAAAAGGAGGTACAAAGCGAATAGGGAGAGGCTCTGATTTTAATCACGCTTCCCATGTTCTGCACTGACCACTTGGGTGGCGGGGATGGGACCCCTGGGGCTCAGCATCCCACCCCTCTTCCTTCCTCCTGCAGATATGAAGATGAGATCAACAAGCGCACGGCTGCAGAGAACGAGTTTGTGGTCCTCAAGAAGGTGAGTCATGCAAGGGGTGAGACAGAGTGGCAGGCAAGCAGGCAAAACCTGGGTGTGGGGCCAGGGAGAGAAATGGGGAGCCCCAAAACCATGACCCTCACCGGGGAGCCCCAAATAGAGGCAACCCAAGGAACCTGGAGAACCCCCATCAGGTTGTAAGCACACACTATGCAAACCCAGATAGTCTTAAGGGCTGGAAATGGTGAGATTTCCTCCAAACGTAGCAGAAAACTTGGGCTTTGCCACAGTCCTTGTTTCTTGACCTCTTTTCACTGAATACATGGTGTCTCTCCAGGATGTGGACTGTCTCTACCTGACCAAGGAGGAGCTGGAGGTGAGAGTGGGGCTCCTGCGGCAGCAGCTGGAGTTCCTGAAGTGCATCTACGCCGAGGTAAGAACTCCCGGCTCCCACCTGCTGCCCTGGGGACAGTACTCCACCCGCTGCTCCCCGAGCCCTCACACCACAACTAAATGCAAGGAAAGGTGCCTTTTCTGAAAATCCTACAATTGCACCCCAAAAATCTTTCTTTATATGTATTTGATTACAACACACACGCACACTTTGGGAAGGCAAAGTTGCCTCCTGTATTTCTGGCTGCAAAGGGAGGGATCCTTTGCATGAAAAAGTCCCTCAATTTCTCATCCAAACCAGCCCTGGGCACCTCTGAAACATCTCACTCTTCAAAATCCAAGTATTTGTAGCACTTCATGATTTTTAGCTACATTACTCAAAAAACTTTGATGGAGGCAACACTTTTATCTAAAACGCAGCAAGTTCTTAATGGAACACTCAAGGACACTTGTATTTGCACCTTTTCCAGCCAAAGACCTCCCAGCAGTCTGTAGGCAACGGGGCCCAAAGCACTCACCCCTGAGGGATCCACAGCCCACAAAATTGCTGATGCAGCTGGAAAGGCCGAGTTGCAACGAAACGAGTTGCTGCACCAGGATTCCCCACCCTTCCTTAGGGAGCTGCATGCAGCAATCCCATATTGTGCCACCACAACAGGTCCCAGCTGCCAGCTCTTGCTGGAAACCGGTTGTCCACCTGGAGAACCCCATGATTTAGTCAGGTGTTAACAGGAGAACCTCCCCCAACCCTGCACCTTCTCTCCAGACCCCACTTTGCCAGGGGTACCTCCATGCCTGGCTTGGGCTGGTTAAGAGAAGGGGACTGATGTGCCCTGGATCTTGCAGGAGAGAGCTCAGCTGGATTGCCAGCTGTGTGACACGTCCGTCATCGTGCAAATGGACAACAGCCGGGACCTGGACATGGAGGGCATCATCAAGAGTGTTGAGTGCTGCTATGAGGAGATTGCCCAGAAAAGCAAGGCTGAAGTGGAAGCTTTCTACCAAACCAGAGTGAGTATTCACACCACCAGCACAGATGGAAATTAAATCCCCTGGCCAACAAAACCTTGAGGACCATTTCTGGCCTCCATGATGGAACTTAAATCCACCCCACAGTGTACACGCAGTGTAGTTTGCCAAAGAAAGTTGTGCCGAAAATAACCCCAAACAACCCTTAATACTGTGTTTTAAGAATTTTCTGTAAAAACAGAGCACAACAGATCACAGTGTTGTGTCAGAGAGGTCTCCTCCATGCACACCCCTCAGGAACACCATCCCCTTCCCAAAGGGCAAATGCTCAGGACCTGCTTGTGACTGTCGCCTTGTCTGGGCTGAGGTCATGTCTGGGTGCTTCCCCGGGAGCACCGACATCAGTGCGGTCCTGCAAAGTCACCACCTCCCCTGGAAGGGGCAATTTGGGCATGTTAACGTCATCCTTTTCCCGCACAACAGCTGGAGGAGCTCCACAGCAGCAGGGGCAAGTTCTGCGATGACCTGCGGAACAACCAGAGCGAGATCGCTGAGCTGAACCGGATGATCCAGAAGCTGCAGTGCGAGTCAGACAACGTGAAGAAACAGGTAAGACGAAGGGGTGAATGCTGCGCGGGCAGTGGGGCACGCAGCTTCTCCAGCAAAGGGCTTTGTCCTCCCCACCTCCCACCCTGCTTTGCTGTGAGAACCCCTCCACCCCAGCCCAAGCCTGTATTTATAGCTTCTCATCTGCTGTTGATACAGACAGAGGCAGGTTTGCTTCTCACTTAGCAAATGAGCAGAAGCCAGGTGGTTTTGCTACAACAGTGCTGTATGTTTCCTCCTGGGGTGCAGCCAACAGGTCCCCCCCCCTTCATCCCACATAGCTTGGCCATCACGTGTGCCCAGCTCAGATCTAGGCTCTCTGGAAGTTCCCACCTGAGACAGAACTAAGTACATGAGCAGCCCTGTGGAGATGCCTCTTAATATCACAACTGACCACCCTCTTGCCCGTTACTGCCCGCAGATCGCAGCTCTGCAGACAGCCATCTGCGATGCTGAGCAGAGGGGTGACTGTGCCCTCAAAGATGCCCGGCAGAAGCTGATCGACCTGCAGACTGCGCTGCAGCAAGCCAAGGACAAGATGGCATGCTTGCTGAGAGACTACCAGGAGCTGCTGAACGTCAAGCTGGCCCTGGACATTGAGATTGCCACTTACAGGACGCTGCTGGAAGGAGAAGAGAGCAGGTAGGAGCACCCCCGGCTGCACCTTGTAGTGACAGAGGGCAAAACCCAACAGGAGGAGAGGCAGTGAGAAATGCTGGGTGAAGGCAGCTCCCCATGGGTGCAGAGAGGAGCATTGCTCCTGTTCCCTCCTCATCCTCCCAAGGCAGGTGGATTGCAGTGCACCGAGCACGTTGCAGTCCCATCCCTTGCTTGCGGTACAGAGGATGGGATATTAAGACATCTGTGGGGTTTGGGGATCCAACCCCGCAGTGCCTCGGTGGGCAATCTGGACCAGCACCTCACACTTGGGTGCACAGAAAAGCCGAAGTATCTGCAGGTTCCTAAGGAGGCAATGGCTGGGCAGCACCTCTGTTTGCTTGTGTATTTGGGGAATGTTTCCATAAATACGTCTTTGAAACACTTCTTTTCTTAACAGGATATGTACCGGCAACCCTGTGAGCGTAGGTAAGCTAATGAAGAATTCCCTTAATTTCCTTACAAGCCTTTTAAGCTTTCAAGTTTCCTTCTGAGCTGGGTTTTAGCGGCTCTGGCAGTGACCCAGCCTGTTTTTCTCCCACAGCTGTGGTCAGCGGCGGCGGCACCGTCGGGGAGTGCCGATCCCTATCTGGAATCGGAGGCAAATGCGCCGTCAAGACAGCAGGTCCCGGCGTGGGGTTAGGGGTGGTCTCCTCCTTCGGCGTCAGCGGTGCCGGCTTTAGCACCCGGAGCGTGGATTGCCTCCCCAGGGTGGGGGGCGGATTCGGGGCGAGGAGCGCAGTCAGCTGCGTGGGGAGAGAAGTCATCTCCGGCGCAGAGGGGGTGCAGTGCACCCCCGGCGTGGGCAACCTGGGCAACGTGGTGTGCGCCGGCGTGGAGCAGTGCAGCCCGGGAGCCGTCATCATTCCCGGGCCGGGGGTCTGCGGCGCCGGCAACAGGTACAGCACAGCTGTGCGCGTGGTCAGAACGACCCGGTAGAGACCGGAGGGTGACGACACATCACATTTTAAAATAATCAGCATTTCTGCAATAAAACAGTATTCCCCTTCCTTCTGACAGCTACAGGGATCACACAACCATGCGCTGCCCACGCAATTAGGCTAATCACTCTGCCAAAAACCCTTTGCATGATCAAAACCCACCTTCTCTTGCATGTCCTTCTTGGGGAAACCTTACCCCCGCAGTCTCAGCCGGGTGAGATTTTAATTTCAGAGAGTCCATACCTGTCTTCACACATCACCTGGGCTCTTAAATGAGTCTTCTCTGCGTGACCCCTTTTCAGCAGGGATATTAAAAAAACGCAGCTATTGCAAAAGGATGAAAAATTTGGTCATCCCAACTTCAGAAAGAGAAGCCACATTTTAATTGTCTGAGATGAAGCTGCAGCTATTATCCAAGTTCTTTAATGACACCGGAAAATCCAATTTTTCCTGTTTGAGAGAGGGTTTGTAATGCTCATGTAAATTGTTCCAAGTTGCTACACCAGGTTTGGTAGAGCAGATTTTAATTACACACCGACGAGCACCTTATGTTTCTGTAGTTAAATGCATGCGTTGTTTTTCCTGTGTGTGTACTACATAGACGGATTTAATGCTTTTAATGTGTAAGTGAACAGAGTTGATTACCCTTCGCTTACTCCAGACTTTCAGCTGTACCTTCAATAAACTACATGCATAATTCAGGCTTTGCTTCACCGGCTTTTATTTCCCTCCCTGATACTACAAAAGCACAGATATTTTCTCTAACATTAATCTCCAAATGGGTGGGGTTGGTGGCTCCTAAGAAGTGGAGTTTTAACAAAGGTTTTTTTGAGACTTTGCTCTCCTTCCTGATGCACTTTTGCATACCTTTATGTCATCCAGAGACGAGTGTGGCCACAGGGAAGTCTGGAAACACAGTGCAAACCAGGATATGTAACCGCTGGTGGGATGCGCAGCTCACTTGGGACCTCTCACACTGTCTGGGATCTCTGGAGGCAGAATAAAAAGGCAGCCAGGCCCTTCTTTAAAGAAATCAGTGAGAACCAGCTCAGGTAGTAACATGAAGAAAACAATCCTACACCCCACCCCTGAAACCCTCTCACAAGAGTGGGCTAATCTTAAAAGAAAGCAAGAGAAAAGCATACCTTTCCAAAATGCAGCACCAGGGCCTTTCTCCCTCCAACCCCACCTTAACACACACCAACTTACAGGAAGAGCAGAGTCTGCAGGATGTGCCTGGATGTCCCCCACCTGCATCCCCCGCAGGGAGGGGGAAACCTTCTCCCATCATTTTAGGAGACTGGGATTTAGGTGAGATCCAGTTGCCCTCTCCCTTTTCTCAGTGAGGGTCCCAGTTCCGAGGGGTGGTGACCCACTGAAAGGTCTCTATAACACGGCTGGGAAGGGCTTGCCACAGTGGCACTCATCACAGCTGGATGCACAGCTGGATGTCAGGCAAACCAGCTGGCCCTGCTGGCTTCTCCCCTCCCACGGCTCACCTGGGTGCAGCCAAAATCCCCAGAGACAGCTTCGCTCTGAATTGCCCTTTGGAGATCTCTGTCTCTCCTCACCCAGCCTGGAAGCAGCACAGGGTGTGAGCAGCTTAATTCACCCCATGAAGGGCGCACTGAGGACCGGGTGTTGTAATTTGTTCCCCCATGTCCCGTTCTGCTTCCGAGACTTCGCTGCTGACTCACGGCTTTCCTGCCCCAACCTCTCCATGGCTGGAGGATGAGTTCCACCATCCCGCCAGGCTCTGTCTGTCCACGCTGGCGTGATGGTGATGAACCCACCACTGGTTCCCACTGGCTGAGCATCTGCCTCTGCTTCTCTCCCAGCACAGAGGCTGTGCTGAGCATGGTGGGTTCTGGCTCCCCGTGTCTGCAGTGCTTTTCTGATGGAAAGCAAGATGGTTCATTGGATGTGATCAGCAGGTAGAAGATCACTGATTATTTTTTAATAAATTACATGCCTTAGCAATGCTGTCTTGGCTGGGGAGGTGGTGAAAGCCAAATGGATCAGCCCTTGCTGAGAAGGCAAAACTCACCCACCCAAAAAAGGATGTTTTTCGAAATGGTTATTTCATCTTTTCTGTCTCAATGTATAAGACTCAGACTTCGTCTCATTTGTATGTAAATAACAGGCAGAAACACCCAGACTAGAAGCTCCCAGTGCCCCAACAGCTCATAATTTATGTTGATCACCTCCCTGCAATACAATACCTGCACACCAAAAACCAGCCGGCTCCCCGGGGTACCAAAGCAGCCCAGCAGCTCTTGCATTTCTGGGAGAATACCTTTAATCATCCCTGCCCTTCTCAACCCCTGAGTATTGCAAAACCCATGTTTTCTGCTGCCTGCTTGAAAATATTCATGTAGATCAGGCTATTTCGAGGAGAAAAAAAAAAGCCAGGATCATGTTTTTGGGGGCAGTTTTGAGGTGAAATCCTGCTCGGTGGTCACTCTGGACTTGCCCCTTGGTAGATCGACAGAGTCTAGTAGAGTTGAACGACACTGACAGATGCAAAAAGCCATACGTGCCTCTGAGCATGGAGCCCACAAACCCCAGCTCCTCCGCACAATAAACCAGCCTGGTAAAGAAACGGCGCGTTTTTCACCCAACCTTTGTATCACTCGCACACCTTGTGGACAGTGGGCTGAAGGAAAAAGAGTGTGGGAGCCTAAAATGACAATTCCCTCTTTCTTGTTGGCAGCCCCACCTTTAATCCCATTATATTCATTCAGCTCTAATATCTGATCCGAACCCGTTTGTCAGCTTCAGGACAATCTGCCTTTACTGGGGTCAAGAAAGCATGAAGACAATCTCATTTTCCCGTCGCACCCGGGCTTTCAATTTTATGCAAATAATCAAGGCAATAGATGTTCATGAATTTCAAGTGACATCGCAGACAAATTCAGTCCAAGATTTTCCAACGAGAAGCAAGCCAACCTGTACCAACCGGGACTTTTTGCGCTGCAGTGAGAAATTCTATTCGAGTGACCCAGTCTGAACCAGCCTGGCAGCATTTCTCCAAGGATAATCAGATATTTGCTCTCCTGTATTTGGTAGAACACGAAGCACCTGCTTTATTTTTCTTCCAGAGATGCCAGTGGGATTTTTAGCTCATACTTAGTGGTTTTGTAGCACCATGTGCATGGGGCACATGAATGTATTTCGAAGGGCATGTAGAGTCCTGTCCTGCAAATGCATTTAAGCTCCAGTCATGCGGGCAGCACAGGCAATGCCACCAGGACAGCAACATGCTGGAAACGAACCGAGCTTTTAAATGTGAAGAACAGAAAACTCTAAGCATTGCAATACAACAAAGATGCCAGAAAATGTCACCACACCCTATTGAGTTTGCTCTTTTCCCCAAGGACTCTAGGAAGTAAAATAAGGAGAATTTGTGGGAGTATTTTTCATGCTGGTTACATCTTTGCTTTTGGCAACATTTTGAATGGAAAGGTTCAAAACTCTTTAAAAGAAATCACAGCTGTATAGAGCTAGAAACTCAAGGCCGATTACATCTTAAAGTGAGCATGCAAATAATACAGCCCCACGAAGCCGGGCAAAGCGTTTTTCAGAAAATCTGCCTCTTTCATTGGAATGCTGTTTAGACCGAGATGAAAACGTATCGATCACATCATCGGTTGGCTGGAGACATTGAAACAGCAACATCTGAGTGAGACAGAATTGTCCTCTGGAGGTGCCAATGTCCCTAGAAAGGAAGTAGAGGAAACCTGCCACAGACTAAATACCTAATTCCAAATGGCCAAAATTTGAGGTGACATTTAAATATAGTGTCTCAGAGGAAAACCACAGATCAGGACCTCTTTGCAGTAGCCTGCTCAAGACGATGGTCTCTGCCTAACCAGTGCGAACAGGCAGACTGGACAAATTAAAGCCCTGAAAGAGACGTCAGGCTTCATGAGCATCACACCCGCACTCCGCCCTCAGGTGAAGCAGCCCTGTGAAATACTTTTGTTGAGATTTTAGCCATTTTATCCTCACTGCTTTTCGCTCAAGTTAATTCAGAGGACTCTCCACT